TTGTAAGTTAATAATCTTTTTATTTTCATTATATCTAATTGTTAAATAAATATAAATATAAATATAAATATAGATCTTTTTAAGTTTAACCAAAATTCCTCACCTTATCTGATTAACTTTTCCTGTATCAATAACAATGGTAACATCGGAAATAGTAATTCCCGTTTCTGCAATATTAGTTGCTAAAACAATTTTTCTAACTCCTCTTGGAGGTACATCAAATACCATATTTTGATTCTCCGAGCTTATGGTACTATGTAATGGATAAACCAAAAATCTTGATGTATCACTAAAATTTCTATCTGATAACATTTGATCGTGTAATCTTCTAATTTCTGCCATTCCGGGTAAAAATATTAGTATAGCCCCATCTTCTGGTATATAATCATTTCGTTGCTGTGCTTCAGAATTATTACAAATATAGTTCAAAAGAAAAACTATAAGATCATAGTTTATGCATGTTTCATCAATACGTGATAAAACTAATCGGGTATTCTTTGAATATTTTTCTAGATCTTCTTCAGGAATATTTAAATCTGTGTATGAATTGTCATAATCTTCTTCATACTGCAATCGAACTGTGTGTGAAGTTTGTCTATTTCCTGTAATTGTCACCGTTCCTTCATCTTTAAGAATGAAAAAAATTTTAAATTAACGAGAAAGAAAAGTGTGGAATTATAAATATGAATTATTATTTACCTCTAATTTGTCTATAAACTTTCTTTGCAAATTCATCATCTTCATCAATTGTGTAACCTATTCATGACAACCATAAAGACTAAATATTAATATATTAATATATTTTTTACAAAAAGGAAAAAAAACTTTATAATTACCTGTTTCTTCGATGACATCTTCAAGAAATTTAACTTTAACGGGAAAGGTTCTTCCAGGTATTTCAATTACAGGACAATTATTAAAGTAATTAGAAAATTTTGATGTATCAACTGTTGCGCTCATTAATATAATTCTATAATATTAAATTTTTTTTTTTAAAAAAATATATAATTATATTGATTAAAATAAATTTTAAAAGTTTTTCTTAAATAAAAAAAAAAAAATTTTACTTCAAATCACTCCTCCATTCCAATATTTTTTTCAAAATAATTAACAAGAAATCTGAATCCAAACTTCTTTCATGCACCTCATCAATAATTACATGACTGACGTCGTCTAGTAATTTATCGCTCTCTAATCTTTTCAATAATATACCCTAGCAAAAAAAAATTTATTAACCTTCCACTTTTGTATAAAATTTGTTTTGAAAGTTTATTAACTTACATAAGTACAAAATGTTAAAATGTTTGCTTTAGAAGTTTTTGATTCTAATCTAATTTGATATCCAACTAATGCTTTAAAAGTTCCAAGAGTCCCTGGTAAATCACCGATTTCTGCAGAGACTCTGTGTGCTATTGAGATTGCTGAAATTCTCCGCGGCTAATTATAAATAAAGTTTATTAAATTGATTTATCAATTATAAACAAAAAAAGCAATAAATACACACCTGGGTACAAATAATATTACACTTGTTTCCATGTCCACTCAATAACATATGTTCAGCTATAAATTGTGGTATTTGTGTGCTTTTACCACTGTTAAATTTCCAAAATAGACTTAATAAATCAAATACTTAAACAAAAAAAATATGTGTTGATTATTTGTTAAAGATTACCATCCAGTCTCTCCAGATATAACAATAATTTGATTTCTATCCAATATCTTTAAAAATTCATTTCTCCGTATATAAATTGGTAATTGTTTTCTTTTATCCTATATCATTAAAAAGTTTTTTTTTTTAATTAATATTAATATTGATATTATTTAAGTTATTACAAATTTGTTGTCATACTAAATTACTTACTAACATATCCTTATATGCTTTATTTTTTTGTCTATTTAAGAAAGCTTTCACCATAGCTTCACCTTCACTAATAAATTTTTTTGCATCATCTTGATTTATACTGGATACATGATTTTTATGAACGATGTTTTGTTCTTGATTTGACTCTTCAATCGAAACTTTAGATAAATTTCCTTCTACCTAAACAATATGATTCAATAAATAACTTGTAATTTTTTAAAAATAAAAAATATAGACCATGGCTATAACTTACAAAGTTTTCTTTCTGCTTTTTCTCTTCCACCACGTCAATCAAGAACTTTATCCTTTCTTTTTGTTCAGCTAACTTGATTTTATTTTGAGCAGATTTTTTTTCATTTTCCAATTCTAACCATAAATCTCTAAAACAAGAAGGAAATGCCGTATATGTCGGGAGATCTGTTAATTCAAACAATGCTAAAGTAGAAATATAGTTCTCCGCTTCTATCTTGGTTCGACATGCAACATTTTCCATATTCCATTCTTTTTTATGTCCATCACTCCACTGAATCGACAAAAAGTATTTATAAAGAGTTTCACCACTCAATGTTTTATCCTTAACAAAACTAATCTTTACTTGGCTATCTTTACTTAGGCAAAATTCTTGTAAATAATCTTTAGGTAATCTTCCTGTATATTTATTAGGTAATGAAATCTCTCTAATTGTTAATGAAGTATGAGATGTATTAGAAGTAACTGAATTGTCCGGAACATTATCCAGTAATCCACCAAATAAATCTTCATCTTCGCCATCACTTCTTTCTATCATTGTAATCTTTTCTTGATCCTTTGCTTCCATTTTATCTTCATTATAATCTCGTTCTTTAATATTCTTATCTTTTTCAATGTCATCATTCAAGATTTCTTTGGCTTCTTCATCTAAATCTTTAAATTTAATTAACTTATTAAATTCTACTCCAGCTTCTCTCTTATTAAATTCATTATCTGTCTCACAAATTTTCATTTCTTCCTGTAATTCATTAATCCTTTGAAAAGTTTGTCTTTGTTTAATTTGATTACTATTTGATTTCTCTAAAACAGACAAAACTTTCTTTTGTAGAATTAGTTCACATTTTAGTTCAGCATGTTTTGTTGTTGGAGATAATGTTACCACAGGTTCGGGTCCTGAATCATCTGATGCCTAAGAAATGACTTAAAATATAAGTTAAACAGGAAAGACAAATAATAAATAAGAATAAATCAAATATTATACATCATTTTGATATCGATCCAAAATCCATTCCTTAAGATTTTTTTCAATTTCAATAGATGATTTTTTCATTTCCTTATTATTTCTCTTTTGTTTGTAAAGAAAAAATTCAATTCATTTATATTTACAATATAAATTAATAAAATAAAGACTAAAATGTTATTTCTTATAAAATAGTATTGAACCTTAGAGACTACATCTTCTTTCTTTATTTGTGATTGATTTGATTCTAATAACTTTGGGGTTGTTTGTCTTATAGCTGAAACATTCATCTCTTTGAATTATTAAAGAAATAAATCGTTAATAAGTAATTAAAGAATACATTTTGAAATCAGAAACAAATTAAAATTAGCTGCCTTTTTCATAATAATATTTATCGACAAATCTAGCTGGTAAATTTTCCGAGGGTAAATGAATGCACAGCTAAATTAAAATAAATAAAGTAACTTAACATGGAAAAAAAATATATATATATATATTTTTTACGTTTCAATTGATTGTATTTACCCAATCTAAGGCATCTTTAACATCCATTACATTGGTTTTTCTTAAACAATCTTTAATATTTTTTTGTGAAAAGCCGAGACGTAATAAAATTAAATAAATCCTATTTAAAGTTGAGATTATACGCTCTCGAGTCAAAAGATTATCAGCATACAAATTCGTAGATGAACCTAAATAATAACGTATATTATTAGAGATAAAGTTTCAAACTTATATATAGAGAAAAAAATTTTTTTTCCCCGTATACTTACCTAATTCTTGATATCCCACTTCTTTAATAAAGTTTAATATCTTATGCTCAATCTTACTATCAAGGCCAAAAACTTGCATTACGTTATCATTAAAAGTTCGAGAATTTTTAAAATAATCTTCAACTTTTATTGAATCTAAATCATTATAATTCTCAATTAATGAAATAATGTAAGATTCTTCTTCATTAACATTTTCTTCGATAATGTCAGTTTCAATTGGCTCGAGAGAAATTATTGGTTCTTTTGTTATTAAAGAAGCTTGAGATTCAATTTCATGTTTTAAAATTTCTTTATTTTTTGAGGGTGTACTTGTCGTAGCATACCCTCTTGTATTTTTCTTCTTCTTTGATTTAGGCATATTACATATAAAAAAAAAATTTCTCGATTTGGAAAATTAAAACCCGACTTAACGCAGCAATAAAATTTACAGCTAATTTCTTAAGTCACGGGACAGCCAATAATATCCGAGACTTTTCCGAGAACATTTATAAGGATTTGGAAAAGCCAACCACATCTATATATGGATAAAAATTATGTCTGAACGTAAGCGATTAATGTTTTTTCTTCAAAAAAAATTCTATACCGAGTTTTTTTATCGATCTGCAAAATGATCGTCCATCCCGTGATTTTTGAAATTACACCGTGCATGATTTTACTTCGACATAATCGGACTTGTGAAAAAAAAAAAAAAGAAAAAATTCGGATCACGTATTTTTTGAATCATTTGTATCGTAATACATTATTCATAAATTCTTAAATATATCATTAATAACAAAGCTAATTTTAATGATATGTATACTAATATGATTCATCTATTTTTTTCTCATGTAATATTATGATCCGTCATAAAAAAAGAAAAAATTTAATATAGTAACTGTAATGAATAATAAAAGATCATAGGTCATGCTGATAGAATTACTCAGAAAGTTTGCTATTTCAAAATCAATAAAAAGGCATCGTCTTCGCATAATCCTTCCCTCATAAACTTTTTTGTCTCTTATTAAGACAAGATCTATCCATCTTCCTTTAAATCCATTGCATCGATAATTAATCTCCTCCCTGTTATATACATTATAATTGATATTATAAAATCTTTAAGGTATCTATCCAATCCATTCTTTCACGATTTGTATAGGAAAAACATATCATTCTCAAAATGTCAAAACGAGGTTTCTCGACGAGTTCACAAATTAATCTAGAATTAGAGGTCAAGAAAATTAAACCTTTGGATATTAAAGTTGCGGTTGAGTTGCAGATTGCCAACCGTCCTGGCCTTGGACAAGTCGGAAAACCTATAAAATTGAATGCGAATCATCTAAAAGTCGCTACGTTGCCCCAAACAACCTTATTCCATTATAATTTTGTTGTTGAGCCATCAGTCAGGCCTCCACTTGCGTTTAAGATCTTTTCGACTATGGCTTTTCAGAATCATTTTGGTGACGTCATGCCTATCTATGATGGAAATAGTTCCATTTATTGTCTCTCACCGTTACCTTTTAATGATGAAGGGGAAATCAAGGAAGTATGTGTCAGTGTTCTATAAAAAATGAATTTGAGTTAACTTCACTATTTCACTATATTATAATTAATTTTTAGGTCTCATTTGAGGCGGATGGTTCTCGTAGGAAAAAAACATTTCACATTACTATTCAAAAAGTTGATGATGTCAATATGGAAAGTTTATCGAATTATCTTAAAGGCTCCATTCCATTAACCGGTGAAATTCAAACTTGTATTTCAATATTAAATACTGTATTGAATTATAAACCGAGAAATGCCTTTGCTGTTGTTAAGCGAGGCATTTTCCCGGAGTCTGAGGATCGACCGAGGTACTTGTTCGGAGGTCTTGAATTGAAAACAGGTTTCTGTCAATCAATGAGACCTGGTTGGGGTAAGTATTTTCATTCATTTAACAAAAGAAAAAAGATTATTTCACATTTAATGAATTCAAACTTTTACTAGGACATATGACTATAAATGTTGATATATGTGCAGCGGTTTTTTATCCTCATGGTTCCATGTTGGACTATGCCGCAAAAATTTTGGGCAAACGTAACATCGACGAATTAAGATTTGGAATCAATGATAACGAGCGAAGAAATCTCGAACGCGTAATTTTCTAGATTATTAAAATACAACAGTTATACTTTGTATAAATAATTAACTTAATATATTAAAAATATAATATCTTTTATTTCTTTTATTATTGTCATATAGGGTATGAAAGGACTAAAGGTCAAAGTTATTCATCGAGGAGAGAAAAATCCAAAATACAAAATCGAACGCCTATCAAGTAAAGCCGCGGATCAAATCACATTTATGAATGATAAGGAAGGCGTAGAAATGAGTGTGACTGATTATTTTGCGCGAACATATAATCGCCATTTGGAGTTCAAATCTCTTCCTTGCATAGTTGTAAAGAAAAACTTGTTTATTCCAATGGAGGTCTGCAACGTCCTACCTGGTAGGTATATTAGGTACTTTTTTATCATGCTTCAATTTTACTTTTAGGTTTTAATAATATCCTCCTTTATAAATATTTAAAGGTCAAAAGTATGATAAAACAATCGGAGATAGAGCCAAAGCAGACATGATCAAATTTACGGCCTGTAGGCCTGAAGAACGTTTCGGCCAAATAGAGAATTGTATTCGAAACGTTTTTAAACATGATGACGATGAAAATCTTCGTGATTTCGGAATTAATATCGATCCCAAGATGATGATTATTGATGGTATTCTGATTCTTTCTTCTTATGTTCTTCAATTACATGAATTAATATACTAAGTCAATTTTAATTTTATTTATATAGGAAGAATTTTGAAATCTCCAACAATAATGTTTAATGCTAATAGTAAACAACAAAATCAGTTTATTTCTCAAAATGGACGTTGGAATCTCAGAGATCTTGTTTTACTTAGAGTAAAAATTTTTTTTTTCCTTTTATTCTATTTATAGAATCGACAAAATTGTTGATCCATTTGTTTTAAATTTCTTCATAGACAAAACCATTGCACAACTGGTCGGTCCTTATTTTGTCTGACAGAAGGATATCTCCTATTGATCAAGTGAAAAGATGTATGTCAGGATTAAAACAAAAATTGATCGAATTTGGAATGGTAAATTAAATCTTGAATTTCTTTAATCCTATTAATTTTCAAAAGAAAATTCAATTATACCTTTCAATTATTAGGAAGTTCGAAATGATCCTTATGTAAATTATGGAAATCAACAAGGGAATATTGAAGCTGTAAGTAAAATTATTATTCTTTACTATATCAATATTTTCATTTCATTAATTCCCTTATGATTTAAATTTATTATTTTAAGTCAATACAAATTGCTGTTCAAAAGGCCCATATCAATAAATCATTTCCACCCCAGTTAATAATTGTGATTATTCCAAGAAAACCATCTCCACTTTATGGCGAAATTAAAAAGATCGCCGACACTAAAATTGGAGTCGTAACTCAATGCATTCTTGCCGACAAATTGCGTAATCCGAACAACAAGTCTCTATGGGCAAATGTTGGATTAAAAATCAATGCCAAGCTAGGCGGACACAATTGTAATCTCATTAAAGATGAACTTTCAATTATAGGAAATGTTCCTGTAAGTACATGAAGTAATTTGAATTTATCTATTTGTTTTGAAATATTATATTTTGTTTCATTTTTTTTTTTTAAATTTTTGTTTTAGACGATGATCGTTGGAGCGGATATTTCTCATCCTGGAATTGGACAAAAGAATCAACCCAGCATTGCAGCAGTTTGTGCATCCGTTGAACCAAGTGCAACAACTTATTACGGTAGAGTGAGTGTCAACAAACAAATCCGTAATGAAACAATAGAATGTCTTGGAGATATGATATCCGATCTATTAAAAGCATTCTATGAGAAGAATAAAGTTCTTCCAAAAAGAATGATTTTTTATCGAGACGGTGTAAGTGAGGGTCAGTTTCGCGGAGTGCTTAACAGAGAAGTAATTGCGTTGAAGAACGCATTTAATAAAATTTATCAAAAGGAACCTCCCAAATTAACTTTTATGATAGCACAAAAGAGGCATCATACCAGGTATGAAAAAACGTTATAAATATTCTTAAATTCTCTTAATTGTTTTTGGTTTTAATAAAAATCATTTTAGATTTGCTCCAGTAAATAGAGGAGATGCGGATAAACTGGGAAATTGTACCCCTGGAACTGTCGTAGATCAGTCAATCGTTCACTGTAATGAATTCGATTTTTGTAAGTATTTTGATTAAAAAAAAAGAAAAGAATTTGTAGTTTTTGTGGATTTTAATAATTTATTTGTATATCAATAGATTTGCAATCTCATTCTGGACTTCAAGGAACAACACGTCCAACTCATTATTATGTTTTGTATGATGAAAATAAATTTGACGCCGATGATATTCAGAATTTAACTTATCGATTAAGTTATCTTTACGCTAGGTAAAAATATGAACGAGATATTATGTGATAATTAAATATGATGTTAATGACTCGAATGTTTCACGTTTAGATGTTCTTCGGCAATTTCCGTGGTGCCTCCAATTGCTTATGCGCATCTGTTGGCAGCACGCGTACGACTTTATCCAACTGGCGAATCACCCGAAGAAAAAGATTGTGGTGAATCGAGAAACTTAAGTGAAAGCGCATTTTCAGTTCCT